CGACAGTTTATATTTCTTTTGTTTATTACTATTCTTAAAATAACTGCTTTTTTAGAAACAAACCACCTAAAATATACGTGATTGATGAATTGGCGGAACAACATGGGCACAAAGTTCTTCGTCTGCCTCCTTACCATTGTATATTTAACCCTATTGAGTTAATTTGGGGCATAGCAAAAGGTTACTATAACAGACATATTGGTAGAGATGGTAACAGTGAAAAAGACTGTTTGGATATGTGGAACGAGGCTCTACAAACGGTTACCCCAGACATGTGGAAAAATAGTGTTCGACATACTGAGCAAGAAATTTTTAAATGGTATGAAAGAGAACGAATTTTTGATCGACCAGACATCGAACCTTTAATAATCAACTTTGAGAGTGATGAAGATTCAGATTCAGACAGCGCTGAAGAAAGAAACTCCGACTAACTTTATTGTACAGAAAAAGCTTACACCAGTAGCTTACCTAATTTTAGAATGCATTTTTCTGTATGAATTCTGTAAAATAAATACCATGCATAAAATTTGGAGGACCCCATTTGGATTTTTATTCAGTACCTTTAAGCTATTAATTAAATATGGTAGTTTCATAGTGTCATCTGATCAATAATTGTCATACTTAATGATTATGCAAGTACAGATCTATAATTTTATTATACTATTATTTTTGTTCTCATTTGAGGTTAATATTGCTTATAAACCTAGATATGTAAATAATAAATTTTATTATTTTACAAAAAGTTTGGCAACAATGTAAATTTTTCAACACACCCACCTTGATGACGTGCACGCCACTTTGTTTGGCGTTGACTATACTTTCGTAGGTTAAGTATATTTAAGTAATTAATTTATGTAGATATGAAGTTAAGGATCTCGTCAAAAAATACCCCTAAATGTTTTGCTGATTCCTCAATTTGAATAACATTGCCGTTTAATCTTTTGTTGAGCTTATTTTAATATAACTTCCTTTAGGAGAACAAATTAATTCTTTAGATCTAGGTGGATTACCTCTTATTTAGGTACTTCATGATTGAGTCTTTAGTTGAGTCACTCGTGTATTTATCCCCTATCAACCTTACAACTTACACAATGCATGGAAAATATCCCTTTCTAGAAACACAGTTCTAGTAATATTCCGCTACATTGATTTTTTACATGATGGCTCTTCTCCTTGCATGTCATCGATCCTAATAATTGCTTATTTTAATGTATTCGGTATTTACGTGTAATGGTTGAAGGTGATATATTCAACGCTAATTATTGTTATAACTGCCATTAGTATACAGTGTCTTATCATTTTATGGTCGCGCCCATTTTGTGGAAACGGAATATCAAACTTGAGACGTTATCAAACCTATATCTGTTAGTCTACTCTATTTTTTTGTTTTTTTTTATTTAATTAGCGATCTAATGTTGGCTTATTGATTTTATTCGTATACAAATGTAAGGCATTCCTAAAAAACCCGATAGAGAAGGAAATATGAATCATTAATTTCTTTGATTGCTATAATGTTATAGTCTAAATTCCGTAACTACTGTAATGACTGATACTTTCATGAATCATGTTTTATCGTGTTAGCGCTACACAACTAGTTTACGCTGAAGCGTTTATTATTATTTAAAGTGTAATGGAATTGAGTACAACGACTGAATTTAAAAAAAAAAACAAACAAAATCGCAGAAAAAGGGTAGCTTTGCAATAGTTCTTCCTAAATAGCTAAATACCAGTAACAATTTCAAACAGATGTCCGATTATTAACTCAAGAAACACGTAGTTGAGTTAATTTACAATGATAAGTGGCAATCCATTTGTTGGATTGATCATATATGGCGTATCCGTCAAAGCACAGCGTTGCCAGATAGATCGAACAGAATTTCCCCACAACAAGCACAAAAATCCCTCAGAATCGCTACGTTTTAAAAAAAAAATCCCCCGAATCAGTTAATTAATGGAAAGGGGTAGGTTTAGTTCAAAGAGCGGCGTATGCTTTCTATCCGCGAAACGTGTGATACCCCTAGAACATTATATCCTCAAGTAAAAATCCCCCGACATGGCAACCCTGTCAAAGCACTACTGATACTCCAGGCGTCAAGTTTCACAGCACTAACAGCATTGCCGCCGCTGCTCCTGGTATATGGGTTCCATGGTTCTTACCTTCCTACTGTTGGCCTACATAGATGTACTGATAAATTTAAAGCACGGACGAAACATACATATAAATACATTTTAAAGTTTATTGAAACGGAAGGTATCTCAAAACACTAATCAGAAATCAGTGACGGCAATCCTGTCGATGACAAAATATTGGAGGTGATGGTCAATTATCAAACGCAACACTAACACGAACTGGTAACAACTGTTCGATGTCAGTTATCACTTTGTTGGTGACATTTAGCGGGAGTGACGTCATCAAAACTGAATATCCGTTATCGGAGGAAAAATTAAACTCTTGTGAATTCGGTATACTCTTCTCGACGCATTGCATAGTATGACGGGTGGGAAAGTGTACATGCTAAAGTCTGCTCTCCGTTCCGAGTCTTTTTTTGTGCAACATTTGTTTTTGTGAGCATTTTTTTAAGTTTCAAGGGCAAATGTACGGGGAAATCTATGATGTGTGAAATATGTCTAATTGGTGCAGTTAATTACCGGCATGCAAAGCGTATAAATATACTAACGCAAAAAAATGCGATACGCCCTCCAACACCACCCTACAAGCCCCACCCCCCAACTTTTTACCCCTATTTTTTTTTTCAAAAATGATCAGTATTTTCTGAAACCTCAAATAAACGAAGTTTGTGCTATTTTTTTTTTAGTTTTTAGCATTTTAGCAGGACCAATTTTCAAAAACTACAAAGATTGTTCATCCTTGGGATAGTAGTAACCTTGTGTGAAAATTTCATCCATATCCGAGCAGTACTTCCAAGTTACAGAAGGGCCAAGGATTTGCGGGCAAACACAGACATACCGACAACCTCAGACACTCTTGACCAGTCTCTCACTACGCCGCCATTACCCTTCACGCTTTTGTCGGTGTTGCTGTGTGGTTTTATTATCTTATTTGTTGCAATGTCAATCAGCAAACCCACTGATTGTGAAGTGCGCTCAGTCATTCGGTTTTAAGCTGCTTGTTGAACTAGCGGCGCTATTTTACTATACTAAGTGATATATAAATCCGAACACCCAGTTTAAATGGTTTTAATAAAAGTTGGTGGATGTACTTACTGTAAATAACAAGTGAAAAAATTTTCAGCCTTATCAGTTGGACATTCCGGTTTTTATACTGCTTTTTTTTAATTCATTAACGCTCTAAAAATTAATATTTCAGCCGCAGTAAAGAATGAACGCTGGCGGATTTTGCTTCTTGACATTATTTACGATAGGTTACGATGCCTAGAGTACGGAAACCTGTACGATTTCGTCAACTTAGTGAGTTTGATAGGGGCCGTATAGTGGGACTTCGGGAAGCTCGACTTTCTTTTCGGGCAATTGCAGTTAGAGTGCAAAGAAGTGTAGACACTGTGGTTAGGTGTTGTCAGGCATGGCTTCGAGAAGGCCGTACGCAAAGAGCAAGGGGCACTGGACGCCGCCGTAGAACAACAGACCGTGAAGATCGCCGCCTAAGATTATTGGCCTTAAGGGACCGTTTCTCTACTACCAGGTCCATTGCAAATGAATGGTTTGCAGAACACGGAAGACCTATTGGCATGCGAAGTGTTTACCGACAAATGAGAAGTTTTGGCTTGTTTTCATACCGGCCACACTGGGTCCTCCCTTTAACTCGACAACACCGACGTAATCACCTTGAGTGGTGCAGACAACGGTCACTCTGGGATCAGGAATGGAACAGTATTGTCTTTAGTGACGAGTCTCGATTTTGTTTAGGCATGCACGATGGTCGTGCCAGGGTTAGAAGGCGACGTGGTGAAAGGAGGAATCCACAGTTTTTTGTTGCAAGACATGTTCATCACACTGTTGGAGTTATGGTTTGGGGTGCTATAGCTTATGGTTCCAGGTCACCTTTAATCTTTATCAGGTAACATGAACGCGCAGCGTTATATCCACGAAGTTCTAGAACCCCATCTTTTACCCTATCTTGACACCCTGGTAGATCCAACTTTCCAACAAGATAATGCCCGACCAGATGTTGCAAGAGTCACAATAGACTTCTTTCAACATAATGATGTCACATTATTACCATGGCCACCAAGATCTTCCGACTTATCCCCAATTGAGCACGTGTGGGAAATGATGGGTAGGAGATTGCTCAATTTGCAACGTCCTCCTCAGACTCTAGAAGCACTTCGAGAGGAGTTGGTGGTTGCCTGGAATGAGATACCACAGGAGGACATTGACCACCTGATCAGAAGCATGCCTAGGCGCGTTGGAGAATGCGTAGCACATCAGGGTACATCCACACATTATTAAAGGTCAAAGGGCTTTAAAGCAGTGCAATCATTTTGAAATTTCTATCATTTACTTATTATGCTTCATTAAGTACTTATACAAAATTTTATTAAAATAAAACCATTTAAACTGGGTGTTCGGATTTATATGTCACTTAGTATATTTAAAACCGCTGGCACAGCCCGCTCTCTACCGGCGTCGTTCTGCTTCACGACAACGCTGGGCCTCGCGTTGCGGCAAGAACACAAACGCAACTCGACAAATTTCTTAAGGAATTGCGGGATCATCCACCATACAGCACCGACTTGTCACCATCAGACTTTAATCTTTTTCTAAGGAGTTTCTTGGTGAAAGGTGCTTGGCAAATGATGCATGTTGAAAGAAACAGTTACTATCTGGTTTAACAGTCAGACGGCAGCTGGTGTCACGACTTGACAGTTGTTCAAATGTTTATAGTGAGCATGTTGAAAAATGAAAAAAAAATCATCTGTGATGCAACTTACATTCATACATCGATTACAAAACGATTCTTATTTAAAAAATAAACCTCGTATGTTATTTTGTTTCTCAGTAAAGGGTTGTTTTTATTACAGAACCGATGGAACCAGTGGCCAAATATTCATGAACGAGAGAGAAAGAGATTTAAGCCAGTTCAGAAAACTATCTGCCTACATCATGCAGGACAACCAACTTCACGCAAATCTTACAGTAGATGAAGCTATGGCTGTAGCTGCGAAACTGAAAATCGGTAGCAAAAAATCACATGAACGAGAAGTTATAGTAAGTTGAACTGTTCATAAGATTTGATCTAAAATAGAGTGGATGTAAACACAACTCATAACTCTGTGCTGGTGCTGGTCACGGTGGACCAAGCGACCAATATCGATTTCACCAATCAACGTTGTCATGTACACCTGTTGCTGAAGGGTCACCTGATCGCATTTGTTGTATTTTGCATTTGCCTTAGTCTGTCTGGCTTTGTATAAAAAACTTACAAGTAGGAATCTCCAGGATCGGAATACGGATTTCGTCCGAAAAAAAAACCTGTGGCAAGTCTTCAGCTCCCAACTCATGACTTAATAGCATTTCGTCCAAAGCGCTTTAGTTTGAGAGAAATTGCGCAATGAAGAACATCACAGTGATTTGATTACTATTTTTTACTTAATGCCACGGCACCGCATCTGCTTTGAAGCTCCCAAAGAATTTTTGGAAAGCCCTCAGGAGCAAAGCCCATTGGTGTAGCGGTAGAGGAAAGCTAGATCACCGACAGTCCGCCGGGAGTGTCTATTAGAGAAGAGCGAGCAATACTCGAGGTTAGGTCTTATTTGGGTTTTGTATAGAGTGAGGAGGTTCTGAAGAGATATAAATACTTCTTAGCCCTAAACAAATAGCCTAGCTTCTTCCCGGCAGCTGGCGCTATTGACAAGTTGTGGTCGAGCTAGATCAAGTCCTCGAGTCCTCGGTGATCTGGTTCGAAACCGGATGAGCGCTACTACGCTTCTTGTAAGTTAAGCTGCAGTACTATGATTTGGAAGCAATTGTACAAGATTGATGCATCCCAGGCAGTTATAATTCCTGCATGTAGAGTGCTGTGTACAGCAAAGCGTTTACTTTCCAGTTTTCTGTTATCGGATTGGTAAGATATCTGGAAGGGACACAAAAGAACTTCAGTAAAACAGTAGGAATCAAGTCCGGGCCCGAAGCTTTGAGGATGTCGAGCAAATTATGGCTGAATGTTATTTCCCCTTTGAATCGACGGCATTCGAGCGTTGGGGGAGGGGGGGACGTCCATGGTGGAGTTGGCAGCAAAGATCTTGGCAAGAACATTCCGCCTTACTCATGCTTTATTTTGAGTTTTTGATTCAATTGATGCTACATGTTGTTTTCTGCGATCTTAAATCATTTGTATTCTGTTAAGTTTTTTGATACAGTGCTTTTCAAAAAGGCACCATTCCTACTCTACTAGGTCATGTTGGCAAGCTCAGATTTAGAGTGATGAATTGATCTAACGCAAAAATAACGGTCGGACTTTTTGTTATATGGGGATGGGGTGTCGTGCCACACCTCATTTTGAAACTCCTTAGCAGTAGCATAGTATGAAAGAATCTGAATATTCAGTAAAATATAGGACATCCGGTAGACATTTTTATCATTAAATGTACCACATTTTATTAGATTAAGGTACTGTATAATGTAACATAGATAATGAAAGTAATATACTATAATACTAAACTATGTGATTTAACGAAACAACACATAATTATATCAATAATGACATGCTGCCTAATCGAATATCTTTAAAAAAAAAATGGGTACGCCTCGTGATGGGTACGAAAAACTTCTATTTCTGAATGTAATTAGATTACTGTGGCGCTCGTTATTGATCAATTTCCATCGAACCAAAGCGCATTGGATAAATCATATCAAAATCTTGGATTTGTTATCACTAATACATTGAATTTACTTTTTAACGCTTTTGTTAGATCTGTTTTGGAATATTCCTCGATTATCTGGTACCTGACCTATAGTATACATTGTAATAACAGTGAGAGAATCCAATGACGTTTTGTCTACATTTTTTTTTATAAATTTTTTCCTACCTCTTAATAGGAGTTATCTATTCAGGCATTGTATGGGTTCCAAACAAATAAATAAAAATAACATGGAATGAGTTTGGGAGTGAATTTTAGCTTCGTTTAGTACATCAAAATTTTCTTACGCCCACTTCCACAAAACGTAGCAATGCTCTAACTTTTCTCCTAGTACCCGCAGATCATTTACAAATAGACTCCAGTATCTCCAGCAGGCTTCCAGCATGGTTTTACCTCTTGTGTAGCCATAACTCATCCAAGCTTCATTAGTATGTCTTGTAATCGTTAGCTTCTTCTTACTCGTAGATTACAGAAATCTTGGACACGCTAGGTCTCTTGGACCACAGAAGAACTATGACAAGTGGTCTGTCTGGTGGTCAGAAGAAGAGACTGTCTATCGCTTTGGAGCTTGTTAGCAACCCGCCAATCATGTTCTTCGATGAACCTACTAGTGGTTTGGATTCGTCATCCTGTTTCCAGTGTATTTCCCTATTGAAAACATTGGCCAAAGGTATGTATTATTGCTTTGTTTCTACACTAATAATAGTTGTAAGTTTGAACTATCAATGTCATTTATTTTTCCATAATTTTTTTATACATAATCAGCCCTATACTAGAGACAGTTGAAAAATAAATAAGATTACCCACTGAAATATTTAAAGAAGATTTGTGTGCAGGATAACTGTGTCCAAGAAAAAGCTCATCATTGCGACGATGAAACGTCACAACTTTTAATTATGTGTTAGCATGATTTATTTTTATAATGCTTTTATATGGAAATTAATCAAAAAAGTTATAATCATATTTTGGATGAAAGATGGCAAGCAACAAAAAAAAGAACCATATTGCTCCTCTCTTTCTCCCACAAAAGGTTTTCTGGAATGTTGTCGGCTTCATGAACAAAGTGATGTCCAATTTGTTCCCGCTAGAGACGCTAGTGAGGCTGTACGTCAAACTTCCAAACAAACTAATCAACGAAATAAGACAGCACAAAGTGCCATCTATTACCAGAATCGATCGCGGCGAAAGTGAAAACAGCTGTCTTTTGAAACCAGTTCCACTTCGCATCGTCAGCCGGGTCACCACTGGTGGTCAATTCTGGTAATAGATAGCACTTCGTACTGCCTTATATTGATTGACCTTATACACTGAATAGAGCCTAGAGCATTCTGAAGAGTTGCTTAATAATACAAGACAGCTGTCCATGGTTGGCCGTCTTTGGTCGGACGAACAAAAGATGTGTTACTAGCTTAAGCCTCGATTTCACTAACATTAATATCTAGTAGTAGAAAGATTTTTTTAGTAGTAGAAAGATTTATTTAGCACATTTGGCTACATAAACAGAACAATTGTAAACAACTTAGAACTAGTAAATTCAAGCCATATGGTGTATGATGTAAATGCTGGGCAACCTATAATTGTAGATTTAACAAGTGATTTCTCAATTTTACTTTAAATTTTGTCAAAGTTTTCTGGTCTTTTATCTCCGAGTATAATTTATTATATTCAATCACCCCTTGATGGAATACAGATTTGTAGCATATGTTATACTTTTTGGTCATTAAATGGAAGTCATCTTTATTTCTGGTATTATGTAAATGATGGTCGACATTTGATGATGTTAAATTAGTTAGACTTGATGGAAATATATTATTTTTTACTTTATAAATGAATATCATTACAAGATATTTGATAAAATTTTTTACATTGAGCCATTTTAATTTGCTAAGCATTTGCCTAATTGGAGTATATTTATCTTTATTTAGTATTATTCTCATGCACTTATTTTGTAAAATTTGCAGTCTTTCAAAAATGGAATTATTTGCTAAATATAGAATAGTCGAACAGTACAAGAAATTTGGAAGAATGATGGTATTATAGATAATTTTTCTGCTATATGAACTCAGACATCCAGAAACTCTCGATAAATATCCCACTTTACTACTAATCTTATTTATAACTTTTTCATATTGAATATCAAAAATTAATCGAGAGTCAACAAAAACTCCCAGGTATTTAAAATTTTCTACGAATTCAATATCTTCACCATCAATATTCAGTTGAACATTTGTACATTGTTTTTTTCCGATTAACAAGGCTTTCGTTTTACTTGCATTTAATTTTAGTCTGTTAGATGCTAACCATTTTGAGACAAGCTTCAAGTCTTCATTTATATAAGAGATACCAGACTGAATATTTTTAGTGCTTATATAAATCATAGTGTCATCGGCGAAAATTTGAATTTTGCATTTTTGACTATGGCAGGTAAATCATTTATGTATAAAATAAAAAGAAGTGGTCCCAGGATACTGCCCTGTGGAACACCCAACGTATTTTTAATTTTTGATGAAATAGTGTCCTTAACTTTTGTAACTTGCATCCTTTTAGACAAATAATTTCTAAACCAATCTAAAGCACTTCCTGTTATACCATATGCCTTCAATTTACCTAACAAAATATCTCTATCAATCTAACAGTCAGTTTACCTTATCAAAATGCAATTTGACGGAAGCTGTCAAAGCTCTCTGAATATCAGTGATTTCTATTGAAACATTGAATAAAATCGTGAAAAAGCGATTGTATTATAAACAAGAGCACTTTTTGTTTGCAACATGATGCTTTTGTACAGAGAAAACATGACAACCTTCATGTATTTTTTTCTTATAAATTTACAAATAGTAGGTCGGTTATCTCGTTACCCAATGGGAATGCGACAAATAATAGGTCGATTTTCTAGCTATTAGATTTGATAGCATGTTTGAACGTTTGTTAATGCAGAGCAATCTCGAATTTGTGCAGTTCTACATACTGTTTACATGTTATCATTATAGCTACATATCTGTTGAATAGTGCGAATTTGTCTGTGTTTTGCAAGAAAATAGGATATAAAATACATTCCTACCAATTCCTCATCTTCCTTGACATCATAATAGTAATCATTTATTAATTTATGGGTTAATGAATTCCTTCAAAGCAATCAAAACATTATGTCATCTCCATCCTAAAACACCGATATGTGTAAAACGAGTTAATCATTACATCTCCGTGATTTTTTTAAAATTTTATATAATTTCATAACATTTAATAAACTGGTGACATTTCAATGACAAGCTATCATCTCACATTTTAACAGTGTTTTGTTTTCAATACTTCAATTCTATTAGTAGCCAGAAATTTGACGGAGAGAGCCCATTCACTGTACTCAACGGGCTCTTTTATGCATCTACCCTATTGGAGCAGAATAGTAGCGACTCTTTTGGTGAAACTCACCCTTAACTAATCATCTTGCATTGCGTGTTCGAAAGCTCTGCAGTCCTTGCATGATATTGACATTAGAATAATGGTAAGCAGTAGACATGACCGCAACGTAACTAGCGCCATCTACTTCTACTCCATAGTAATCGATAAAAAGCCCACCTCGCATTTTGCCTGTCACATCCATTTTTTGCTGACCATAGTTGATGGTGATTTTTTGTGTTTCAGGTGGCAGAACGATCATTTGCACCATCCACCAACCTTCTGCCAGATTGTTCGAGATGTTCGATCAACTGTACACCTTGGCCGATGGACAGTGCGTCTATCAAGGTTCCACCAAACAGTTGGTACCGTGGCTGGGCACCCTCGGACTCCAATGTCCATCGTACCATAACCCTGCCTCGTACATCATTGAAGTGGCTTGCGGAGAGTACGGAGACCATACCAGGAAGCTCGTCTGCGCAATTGATAACGGAAAGAACGACATTCGCGACGGCAAGGCTTTCCCAGAGTTGAAGATCAACGATGGTTTGAACAACGCCCAGAAGTATGCTGAGGATAATTTGAATTCGATCATAGCTAATCAGTTGTCCAAGGGGTCTAATACCGAGCAGACTGATCAGAAGAATCTGAATGGTAAGTTAAACTAAAAATATATCCTTCGGATCCACTACCAAAGGCGCAATATTTGCAATCCCGGCAGAAATAGGAAAATATAGAAATATCGTACCCGATCAACAGAACATTCACCAAGGCCGGCGGAACGACGCCGGGAGCAGCAGTTGCGGCCGGTAGGTTCGCGATTCGTCTGCTGAGAATGTTTTTCTTTTATGGGCAAATGTATGGGGAAATTTATGGTGTGTGAAATATGAAATTGCCGGGGTTTGAAGTGTATTAATATATAAAAATGCGATACACGCTTCTAGTAGTACTCTCTTCCAAAATATGTATTGGTTGAATCGTTGTATTCTAGGTGTGATCCCAGATCCAGTGAAGGAAGGGATTGTCGATGGAAAAGATGTGGAAAAAGTAGATGTCAGTTCCGCCTTATTAGAAACTTCTATTCCTGTGAAACAACCTAGATACGGAAATTCAGAGTTGCAGCAGTTTTTTATTATACTGAAGAGAGCACTACTTTTCAGTAGAAGAGATTGGGTAAGTTTTGCAAAACCATATTCTAACCACGAAGATTTTCGAACTGGAAACCAGTACAATTTCTCTAATGGACAAGTTTACCATTTTTTTGTTATTAGCTCAAATGAAAGTTTAGGAAAAATGAAACAAGATGATGAAAAAAGTATTAATTTATCTCTAAAAACAAAAAGTTACAGCCCATCAAAGTTGCGCCCCGCGAGAATATTTTTATTTCGTCTGTATTACGTGTGACGTCACACTTCAGTATTCAGTTGCCCGCGGCCGATTCCTGGGCCCGAGCCGACTCAATCTCCTAAACACATGCATAGGCACACATACAGCGGGACACATGGTAGGCTAAACGTCTTCTGCCCCAATTTGTTTAATTAGTTCACTGCATATACGATCGGTTATGAGCGAAATAAGAAAGAAAGGTTGTTATAAATACTGTACCGTTCCAAAATGTACCAGCACAACAATTACAACCCCTAATAAACATTTTTTGTACGTATCTTCGCATGCGGGGTCCATAATGGTATGAACTTACGCAGTACTCTATAGTTATCAACTGGAAACCACGAGTCCGAGCGCACAGGTGTGCCTTATGAATTGTCTATAGGCTAATGACTAAACGCACAGACGCTGTGGATCACCTACGCGATCAGACGCTGGGCACTAGAGAAGTGTGACGTCAGACGCGATCGAACGGCAGCTATGATTTCGCGCTAAAATGCGCCAAATTTAAGTATCAATTTCTCTGTCATTAATTGGCCGATTTCAATAATTGTTTCACTAGCTGATTATATTTAGTCTATATTTTGCTGGTATGTCATTACTTATGCGATTCTGAATATCACGAAACTTTTCCATTATCCACGACGCTATCTTATTACGATGTAAAAGAATGTCTCGTTTTTTCTCCGTTCGTTAAACAACCTGCTGACCTGATAGCGTTTAGCACAACCGGTATTGTATGTGGTCATTGTAGTTTTAAAAAATGTCAAAAGTTTTGATAATAAGTTTCACGCTACGGACTTTTCGTTTATATTTCGTAAACTGTTTCCTGTTTCAGTCTTTCCCCAAAAAATGTTGGAATCAATAATTAGGACGTTTCCGACAGTCGAAAATACTGCTAGTTTCACTTGTATAGTATACAGGGTGTAAACGTTATGATAGGCATTATTTAAATGGGTGATAGATTGGGTTAAAAGAAGTAAAAAGTTTCATATAACATGGGGTTCAAAACGGCATTTTTTAGAGAAAAGCGACTAAAATAAAATCTGACTACGCCGCAATGCCCGACGCAAATTACGACGGAACGCTGTGTAAATAAAGATGGAGTTTGTTATTTTTGGCTCTTAGTTATTATTTCATTATTTAATAATGTACTCGTAAAATGCAAACATTTAAAAAAAACGGACTTACCACTAACTGCCTCAGCGCTTCACCTGGTGTGTGAAAGTTTATTGAACGTATTAAAAACATTCACCTATAAATAGGGAACACAATTTTGATACATACATTATATATATTTTTCTTTTTAAAACCCACACTGCAACTTTTTGTATCTAAAGAAGGTGTTCAAAATGTCGTCCTCCACTTTCCACACAAGTTTCATTACGACGAACACAGTTTCTTCTTGCTCTAGGTCCTCGAAGTTGTCCATTTATTATTTCAGCCGCATTAAGAATTTTTTCGACGTACGCGAACAAAAACAAAACAACATACTAACCACTGTTACCGTTTACGATCGATTGCAGGTTCGATAAGAGTGATGATGACCGACGCGGTGTTGTCATGTGTGTTTTATATATTCAATTTAATGAAACTTACTTACTAACTACAAATTTTGGCTTGACTTAGATAAACTTAATGCCATTTATGTGTTAATTACCCAATTTAAAAACGTTTAGATTATAAAAATTAGTAAGATTGTGGTGATTGTGATCGATATAAAGCATTTAAAGTTGTAAACTATAAAGCCATTTAGACAAAAATCTATTGACTCTTGGACCATCGGTCATATGAACTTTTTGACTTGTTTTGACCCTCCTATTACCCATTTCAATAGTGACTACCATAACGTTTACACCCTGTATAAAAGTATAACTGTTATTTTTCACAAATCTGAAACAGACAATTTAAGGAAGTTATGATATGATCGAGACGTCACATGACATAACTTTGGCATCTGGGCCCTAGCATCTATATATCCCATCAAAATGGCAGATTTAATATGGTGTTTTTTGAGAAAAAGGATTAAGCTCAAATTTTAGATGTTTTCAGGGTCGCTAATAACGCACCTGATATTTATTGTTCAAAAATCGAAATAGTGGTTCTAATATGGCGGCTATGTTTGCAAAAAATATTTTGATCGCGCTCATAATTAAGTTTCAAGTGTTTTTAAGATCGCCAATAATGAATTAAATATCGATTCTTAAAAATCTAAATGACGGCTGTGTTTACGAAAACATTTGTAGATTGCGCTCAAAATACAGATACGTTTTCAAGGTATAATTTATGTATTTTGTATAGGTATAATGTCACATAATTGCAAAACTAGCAAAATCAACTTTGATTAATACGCTACTATTCGAAAATTTCGAAATATAGCAGAGAGCTTTTTAGCACTTGCTGAATTCACTAATAACGGAAAAATAACAATTACATACTGCTGCGAGGCTTCAAGAGTATTTTCGGTCCAGCCATAACATGATCACTTTAACAATAACGTATGCCCTAAAAGTTTTGGCACAAAATATTTATCGGATTTTTTTAAAGAAGAAATTTATTTAAACACTAACAAGTTATCATAAATGGCAGCTCAATACTTAACTATACTATGCTATACTAAGCAATTTGGAAAAGCAATTATCAATATAGCTGTGACTATTCAAAGCTTTATCCCTCACTTTTCCCACAAAAGGTTGGGATACACCCCTGTTAGAAATTGCGCACCAGACAAGGATTTTATCTGCAAATTTCGCTTTATGTTTGTATCTAACATTGCCAGAGTACTTCTCTACGTTGTCCGTATAAATTCCGTCGTTTCCCTTTATTTTAGGATTACTCAAAGTGAACAACTTTTCGTAATCTAAGATAATGATTTTTCCATTGGCAAAGTGCACCCGCCTGAGTTGGCAACAGCATCTTGGTATACGAAGGAGTTGCTCTTGAGAATATTTGTGGCACTTGAGCCTCTTTCGATATTAAAGACCATTCCTCAATTCCAACGATATCGTACTCTTAGAAGATCTGTGTTGACGAGCCAGTCTCCTTGTTGACATTCCAACCTGATTTTTTACTCTTCTCACCAGTCTCTCTGACCTCTGTGCGGTAAATGCACGTGGTCTTCCACTTTTTGGGAGATTCAGACATGGTATTCCGTGCTCGCACTCCGTTATTAGTCGATAAACGGTTTTGGGTGAAATGTTTTCATACTGGAATATTCGACAGATTTCAGCTTTGTTTATCCGTCCAACCAACTTGTAGATACTTATTTCTAATTTATACGACACCTTAAAGCGAAAACTTGAAAATCCATAAATGTCAACTGACAGTAAAGTGAGTAAACATACTTTTGTTTCCAAAGGCTACTTGATATTATTTTTTGGTAGTTAAAATTAAAGCCAATGAGGTTTGTGCCAAAACTTTTAGGACATACGATATTTACATTGTAGCAAAATGAAAACAATAATCAACCAACTCGTTTACAGCAATTAGGTTATTAATCCATCATAATAGGCAACATATTAATGTTGTTTTTTTATCATCCGTATTAACTAAATACCTACTAACATCAAAATGATATTTACAGCACTACAATGATGTTTCAGAAAGTGGAAATTTCATTACCCTGCACCTTATGCTTCTAATTCCACATTTTGCGCAATTAACCATGTTTTACGGGAGCTGGTATGCCTGTATTTGTACATCTAGGTACAATACAGTATTTGTAAGTCGATGGTCTGACCCATGTTTACCGTAAATCGTCAAGACGGAGCTGAGCAACTTTGGTAACAGGCGCCAAGTGTGCGCATCGCTTTGAGGTGACGGAAGCTGGTGTCATGTTTCATCATCACTTAATCTCGCGCTCCAACAGGATAATTGTCCAAATAAGAAACTTCTTACCAAAAAAATTTTCAGTACTGTACTAGACTTTACTTAAACTTGAATTTTCAGTATGTTTCAAAAAAATGGGATACTTCCTTATTATCTTTGAACGTAGAAAACCCATTTTAAAAATGTTCACACTTTTGTAATTCGTAAAGGCAAAGTCACAGTGTAGCTGTGTATTCTGAAAATATGCTTACAAAAATTCAGATATTGCTGGTAAACGTCCTAGTGACAATAGGAAATTTGACTTACGCAAATGTTATTTTTGTTTTCAGACCCTTATGTATCTTCGACTCTTCGCCCACATCCTGGTAGGCTTTCTGATCGGTGCCTTGTACTTCAAGATCGGTAACGATGGTGCGAAAGTGCTGAGTAACCTTGGATTTTTGTTTTTCAACATGTTGTTCCTGATGTATACCTCGATGACTATCACCATTCTGTCCTTCCCGCTTGAGATGCCCGTACTGCTGAAGGAAAACTTTAATCGATGGTACTCGCTACGGTCATACTACTTGGCTATCACGATATCGGACATGCCTTTCCAGGTAAGATTGGATAAAACTCTGTATTTGTTTTGGAACTCAAAAATATTTGCCATGGCCATTGATAGTCTGTCATCATTACGTCTGAACCGCAATGTTAGGAGACGTAAAAATGTGTACATTTACTAATTTAAGCCTGAGGAAGGTTCTGCATTGTTTTACCATCAAAAATATACAAGGTGTTCAAAAAGTACGGATAGATCAATACAACAAAGTTGTAATGTTTAAAAAGAATCACCCGTTGGTCATTTTGAACGTGACTATGACCTCCAAGGTCATTTGAAAGTCAAGACATTTTTTTTAAATAAAACCCGTATTTTGATACCGGAACTGTAAAGATCGGGAAATTTTATGTTAGACTATATCTTTACCCATGACTTTGACCTTGAGCTTCATGGATATTTAATGGTGTCCAGCAAGTAAGGAAAGGACAAAATATCTGTGAAGATACGTTTCATAAAGAAAAATGAGTAATATAGGTGTAATGTTTGAAAACATTTATCTAATGTTGACCTTGAACGTGACCTTGACTATGGCCTTAAAGCTCCTTTGAAGGTCAAGACAGTTTTCTTGACTGGAAACCCCTATTTTGACACTAGAAGTAGACAGGGCAGAATGAAGATTAATTTTTAATGGGAAACAATTCCTGAAATGCAAATTGCGGACAATTTTAAGGTTATTTTAAGATCAGATAAATTGTCAAGTAAACCCCTTACTTTTTGTCAAGGGTATAAAAAGCGAAATATTGAATTTGATTTATTGTTGCATGAAAATATTATACTATAATGTTCACTACCAAATACATATGTTTGGGTGCTATAAGTTTTTGATCAACATGCAGGTGTATGGCTGACAATTAATGGAAGTTTCAACTCTAATAACTGACATTCATAATTTATTAATTCAAAATACTAGGTACTATTATTGAGGGAAAAGATATACAGTGATTTTTTTAATGCGTCAAATTAACAAGCTGAAATTCTGGATGAAAAAATTGACGCATATTTAATATTTTAACGTGAAAATAACAGTTGAAAATTTCAAAATGGCCCAGGCTATCTTGCAACATTGTTTTAATGGAATGGCAATCATTTTGATACTCCTTATAACCCTGGAATATAAAATCATTATCTTCCAAAATGTCTGGCTGGCAGGCTGTCAAAGTAAAACGGTTTTGTTCATTGCTTATAATCTACCAACTAAGCATCAAACGTTATAGTATGCTGTCTCAATCTTCTTAATGTGGAAGGGTCTATCTGGATTTCGAATAAAATAGAAAACATTCCGGTTTAAAATATTTGTTTCAATGGAATTTATATTTTTATTACATATTCAGATAGGTCCTTCCAAGAGAACAATATACTATAATAACATTTTGATTATTGGTTGATAAATTGTAAGTGACTGAATGTACAGAAACGCTCAAATTTGAAAGCCTACCAAATCTCTATTTTTGAAGATAGTGACTTTATGTTTTGGAGTTGTGAAGTACTCATAAGGAGCATCATTATGAGATATCACACGACCCCTCACTAGATTCAAATTTTCAGCTGCATGCATCAATGTTATCACCCAAAATTTCTGATTTCCAATTTGATCCGATCAAAAAAATAGGGGGGGGGTATTTGAAAAGCACTGTTTATCTCTATACCTGTCATATTTTCATACCTTGTTAAGGTGGCACACCGTACTTTTTTATGGCAGAAGAAAATGTGTACAGCAGCAAAACACTTGACTGCTAATATAGAATCTAAAAATCCTGAATTACTCAACTAGTCGGTCAGCTTGTCATTTTGTCCATATTTTTTTGCCTTATCTTCAACGCTTCTTTGTTTTTCAGACAATCTTCTGCGTTATTTACGTCACGATAGTCTACTTCATGACTTCACAACCGCCTGAGCCTCATCGGTATGGAATGTTTTTGTTGGCATGTCTGCTTGTGTCGTTCGTAGCTCAAAGCGTCGGTCTTGTAGTGGGAGCTGCCATGAATGTACAGGTAATTGTTGTTAATATATTTATACCCGGACTTTACTTCTTACGCCATTAAAAATTATCAATTTATTAGACTTTGTCCACCATGACGCACATCCTTGGTTTATCTGCAACTGAAAGTGTCATTTGGATTTTAGTTAAATTTGAACATAAGAACTGGTTCTAGGAAGATATGTTTGTTTTAGAAAATTAACGGGTGGATTTAAAGCATAAAATATAGAAAAATGTTCTTCGATTTCCTAATAATTTATTAAGACGAATTATTTTGGATCAATCAGGATTTAAAAAAAAATCCAAAACACGTTTCTAAAGTCTTTTCTAGGTCATCATTTTAGGGCACTGTACAAAAAAAATTAATTTTGCTAATACATTTTAGAGTCGCAGAGGTTAACGCCTAGATTCTTGTTTCTTGTGTACCCAAAAGATTCCAATAACCTAACTTTTTAGGTTTCTCAAGTCATTGATTTTCGTAAAAAAATGCCACTTAATAACAAAATTGTTGAGGAATATAATGGCAACTGTATTGTTGATATGAGTCGGCACATAGACTGACTCTTTGGTCGCTAGGTGTCCGGAAATACATGCCGAGTTTAACGATTGTTTAGAAAAGCAGTCCAGGATCCAGGATATCGCGTTACCGTGTCAATATCCCTAAGCTCCGGCGTTATCCCTGAACCAGAGATAACCGAGCAACATGACTACTTTAAACTTAAAATCCTATACATATCCTGCCATGCGATCTCTTCAGACTCCAACGATTGCTAAGAGAAGATAGATAAGAGGTCATACAGACTTAGGATGTCACGTCGTCCAAAAGCCATCGTGTTAACATACCAAGCGCTCCGACATTTCCCTGGCAGAGGAAACCGAGTAGTAATTAACATAACTACCTGAACCCGGCAATCGGTCTCCGAAACTCCCAGAAACTGGTAGCGTCCTTAGGGATATTCAATACAATAGTAAAGTCCTAAGTCATAAAATAAAATGTGGAGACAAAAAGCACAACATCTTTATAAACATGGCTTAAGACATTAATGACATGAATATGAAAGTATTATGGTTAAAAATCCATGCAGTACAGTAGAACAAAGGAAATACAAAGTGATTGCTCACCTTTCAGGTTACCAAAACACTACTTCCAATATCACAGCGACACTGTAATTAGCTTCACGACGCGCACTACTTGATCTGAGATGGGACCTTTACACCCACCTGCGTGTATATGAAGGTTTAACATGGCAAACAAGTGTTGGAACATAAACAAACGTCGTGTTGAGTGATATTAACCAGACTTGTGAACCTTCTGGAAAGATTTCGTGTGCTACAGAGTTGAACTCGCATGCAAAATGTGTTTGAGATATTTCATATGTTTATACAAAGTACTGAATCAAATCTTATTTAGTGCTGCTAAAAACATATTTTTTGAGGTTGTGGGTCCAACACTATCTTTCTCAATTTTGGGTGAATGAAGTTTTACCTATAAACCTTACGAATTCCTATTATTTTTTCCAGAACGGAGTCTTCTTAGCTCCTGTGATGTCCGTGCCGTTCCTGCTCTTCTCAGGCTTCTTCGTTTCCTTCGATGCTATCCCTGTCTACCTTCGCTGGATCACCTACCTTTCCTACATCAGATATGGTTTCGAAGGTACCGCTCTCGCAACCTACGGTTTCGACAGACCAAAATTGCAGTGTTTCGCTAAATACTGTCACTTCAAGTACCCCAAGACAACCCTGGAAGACCTCGACATGGACCAGTCCAGCTACATGGTCGATATCATCGCTTTGGTCACCATCTTCTTCGTGCTCAGGGTAGCGGCCTTCTTGTTCTTGAGATGGAAACTGAAGTCCAACCGTTAAGGTACTTTTTGAGGGCGCTTATAGTTCCGTAAACAGGGTCTTCTGGAAGTGAGGTGCAGTCGAGATGAAAGGTGCGTGCATATCAAAAAAAAATCAAACTCAACAAACTTTTAATACGACGAATAATTGTCCGTGTTCTTGGTACGACTGGTAACCGCGGATCCAATATAAACATCTAGATAAAACTAGTGAAAAATATGTGTAGTTCAACGCATTTTTTCAATAAAGCATATTTTAACGATGTGGATCATTATAACACTTGACTTCGCCAGTTTGTAATCATTTTGACTGGAATCTCTATCAACAGGTTTCCAGGAATTGTTGTTATCGTCATAAGCTAAATACGTCATTTGTTAGCTGTCGCCGTAACATTAAAAAAAAACATGGAAACAATTGTACTTGTCTTACAGCCACACTTGTGAGGTCATATGAAACTGATCTATTCGACTGTATTAAAAATTTTTCATAAACTTGCTCCACTTTTTGCAGTTCATAGCGAATGTTTTCATCTCCATTCTTCACCAACAGTTTCTTCTTCATAGTCCAGTGCAAGTAAAATTATTTCTCTCATATACTGCTTCTTATATAAATGAAGTTAAAAAGCTTGCAGTTTGTAGCCTTGACAGAATTCACAGAAATAAAAAGCAGTCATATATTATGGCTAATTTGAACAAACTTACTTAAGATTCATGATTACTCGAGAAGATAAACCCACGCGCATACGTTCAGTCTCTTTCGCACGCGTGACGTTACTCGGCGGAAAAATACTTTCAGAAATATAAAAATTGCGACTGCTTGCCTTAAACGATTTTCCATGTAAGTAAAATTTATGTACGCACCTTCTTGATAATTAAAATATTATTTATAGTTATGGTTGAAGCAAATTTGTACTAGGTAAAAGGTATACGTATTTTTATGTTCTAAACATAGTGTAAAGTATAATTATTAGGAATGACAGATCTACTTTGATGATATTGAAAAAACTTTCTTTGTGTTACACCTAGATATACGAATTCCGGCTGACATAATTTTGAAAGTTTACTTGTTGAACCTTTGAGATGATAAAAAAATGTTGATTTTTGTAGAGTTTTATGTTGAAATTAATTTCACAAACATTGTTTTTTATTTCATTTTATTTTATTTATGGCAATGTTTTTATGTTACTCTCTGTCAGTGCCGAACTCATTATGCAATAGTAGAAAATTAGTAAACTTATCGAATGATATGCATATAATGCTGTTTGATTTATATTTCATATGAAAAAGATTACTATTTGTGATTTAGAGTAGGGGCTGTGAAAATGAAAATATTAAAAGAAAATGAAATATTAACTTGCCAGAATTGCCCATGACTATAAAATTTTCATCGTTGATGTTCAACAAATCCAACAACACACGCTTTTCCATACTAAGGAGCCTAGAGGAGTGTGTGGTCTTATAATTTCCCCTAACGTGGGGAAAAGTTAATTAATTTTCCTTACGACTGTACTATTTTACTTTAATATGCATGATTATAAATTGTTCCATTTGTTGAACATCTCTTGAAAAAACAATTATAATATAAACAAAATGTACATGATTAGTTTATATTTACTTTCTGCTTTAACATGTTTTTTTGTATTCATATGGCGAACATTTCCATTCCTTTCAATTAACTTTTTGTAGATTTTGAGTTAAGGAAAAATTGGTGTTGAAATAGTAACGATACTTTATGCAACACGATTTGCTATTACAGTTATTCAAAAATACACTTAAGCCAGTTTTGTATAAGTTCCAAGACAGCGCATATATTTTTAATATTTTTGTACTATGGATATTGTTAAACTTTTATAATGTTATACAGTTTAATAAATAAACAATTTTACAGTTGCATTGCCTTTCATTTTGATACCTTTCGCATGTGTGTACCTATCTTTTATTTCCTACGCCACGAATCCAACGATTTGGAAAAACAGTTTGTAAATAATTACGAACCGCTACACTGAAATGCGCTGGTGCACCATCATGCATGTACGACATATTGTTTCTTATTACTAACGGAACATCATCAAGCAGCAAAGGCAACTGTCGTTGAAGAAAATTGAGGTAAGTCTGTCCGTCAAGTCGTCCCGGCAAGAAGAATGGGCCAATAAAGTGGTTGCCAATAATTCCTGCCCATTCGTCAACCGAAAATTGGTGTTGGAAATGGGTTTCGGTTACGGCATAGGGATTTTCTTCTGTCCACAAATGATTATTGTCGAAATTCTGAATGGTATTTCGAGAAAAATTAGCTTCATCCGTGAACAGAATCATTGATTCAAATTGCAGATTTTGTGTAATTTTTTGAAGATACCACTGACAAAAGGTCACACGCCTTGGAAAATCAATGGGAAGTAATGCCTGACTCTGAAAATATGGTAAGGATATAACAAAAAGTCCACTAAAATTCTCCAAACAATTTGATGGCAAATATTTAAGTGTCTAGCGATCTTCCTCGTACTCGTTTCAAGATGTTATTCGACTTCGTGCAGCACTGCTTCCTCAATTTCAGGTGTTCTCACACTTAGAGATCTACCTTCAGAGGTTCGAATATCTGGCAAACCACGATCGGGATATCTCTGGTGATAAATCCATCTGGCATGCTCACCATTAGCGTCGGCAAGGCCATATATGTAAGGCATTTCGGCCATTTCTGCATTTGAAAATTCACCATTGTAAAAACTAAATAATGAAAAAGATGTCACAGCGAACAGATTTGAATAACAGAGACTTGTCAGATGTCAAAAGCCAGTGACATATTCCAGAACAACTAGATATTTATTACTAAATTGTATTCTTCAATTATTACATTAATGTTCTCGGACAATACAACGGTTTTTATTTTTTTACTCAAAAATGGCGCATTGGAGGAAAACAACTCAAGATAGATCATTTGTTTTAAATTGAACGGGGAATTCAAAAATAATTTTTATTTGACAAAAAACCATTAGCGTATAATTTTTTTCTCAAAAAATATCGAAGTCAATCCCCGTACGCACGCCACTGTTGAAGCTAAAAATTATTTTTGTATTGAAAAATATGCAACCATATCAACTATCACTACGTAGTGAAATATCTGAAGCGGTTCAGAAAATATTAATTAATTTCGATTTTTTTCTAAAACTTAACACTCCAGGTTTTTGTAAGGAAACATTTTTATACCATAGTTTATAAAGCAAACTAACATTCATTTTTCATGTAGATTCACACCCTTAAATATTCGCATATCATTAAGGAACACCCTGTATAGAAACTATACTAGCAATATTTTAACGGTATTACTTCCAAACAAATGCACCGTCCGTCCGTAAGTTTGTCAACAATGTATAAGCAGTGAAATTGTTAAAACAGGAATATTTACAGATGCAAGAATAGTATCGTGCCTGGCACTTATGTTTGACGGGTGTGGTTAAGCAGCATTGAGGGATGGTCAATAAATTGGGCAGGGAAGCAACTAGCGCTTGCGTTATCGAATGGTTGGGGAGTATGGACTAACTGTATGTGGGCCTGTTTGGCTGACTTGATGAACTGATGACAGCGTTGCGTAGGCGGTGCAGAGTCAACCTACTTGACGCCATTATTTTATTCTGTCACGATACTATGAGAATTGTGAGATCAAAAAATTAGAGCAATATGTAATCTATGTCGCCTCTGTCGTGTGGTTTTAAAGTCTGTTGAAACTAACTTCGCAAATATATTTGGCGAACACCTCAAATGATAGTGATGTGAATAGTCGATGTCCATGCGCGTAACCAAGGGGGGGGAGTAGAGAGGTTAGTCCCCCCTCAGACCTAAGGCTGATGCCGTTTCCAAAAAGCAATTGTTTATTGGAGAGTGGATTTTTGGGTATTAGGGTATTGTTACGTACGTACGTACAGCAACAAAACGAGTTCACATGTGTACAACAGCTTGTGCTAAGTTAACATCTGAAATACCTACGAAATGTCAAAAAATCGACGAAATGTCACTTTTCTCCGGTGCCGGAGTAGTCGATGTCGGCTGAATTAAGGGTTATAGTCTGGTAAATTAACTTCGCAAATTTATTAGTCAGATGGATAAAATAGCAGGGTGACTATGTAAAAAACCTATATATAAAAAAATGGATAAAATGTAACTTGTATACTAAGTAGCCGATAGCGTGCTGTTAAAAATCGATATGATCTCAATTTTTACGTTAGGTAATACGGATGTGGGAGTGGGCGATGTCATTTGGTGAAATTTTAATGCTGAGGCACGATCCACGACAAAAAGAAATAACCAGGTAGCTTCCTTATGGAAAATGGCTTTCGGCTAAATTTGCTGGAGTTTCACATAGAGCTAGTTTTCGACATGGCGATCAAAAGTCCCAATGGGGCCAACCCCCCTTCTTTACCCCTACGGAACCCAAAATCTCCGAAGTAGGGGTTATTGTTAGATTCGTTAGGACGACATAAGTCAAACATACTGTTGCTAGGATATCTCAAAGACTGGCCAATGGTGATCATGGATTTGACCTTGACAGTGACCTTGAAAGTTATTGTCAAGATCAGGTAAATTTTTAAAAGTTGTGCATCCTACATTCACTAGGAAAATTGACAAAGCGATACGGGAGGGCTTCCGCCCTCCTCTGTCTATACATAGTACATAGATGTGGAGAAATGTGGGGCCTAAAAAGTCACATCGCTGTCATTACTTGGAAAAATTGACTTGACTTTACCCATAACCTTCAAGATCACGGTCAAGGACAAATCCATGTTCACCATTGGCCATTCGGGAATTAAATAGCTGTAAGTGTTATTTCTTCTCTGTCAACATTACAAGTTATAATACGAGGGCTGTTTGATAAGTCAGTGACTTTTTAAATAAAAAGAAATGTTTTTCGGCAAATAAGCATTTTATTTCTCAACATAATCTCCTTTTAGCTCGATACATTTAGTCCAGCGTTTTTCCAATTTCTTAATTCCTTCCGAATAGTAGTTTTTATCAAGGCTCCCAAAATATGCGTTTGTTTCAATGATGACCTCTTCATTCGACCCAAAATTTTTACCACCCAGCCATTTTTTCAGGTTTGGAAATAGGAAGTAGTCGCTGGAGGCTAAATCTGGATAATAGGCTGGATGGGGCAGCAGTTCGTAGCCCAGTCCATGAATTTTTGCCATCGAGACTACACACGTGTGTACCCGTGCGTTGTTCTGCCCTTCTCAAGGTAATCGATGTAAATGATACCGCATGCGTCCCAGAAAACTGTGGCCATAACCTTGCTGGCTGACAGACCCACCTTGGCCTTCTTTGGAGCACGCTCGCCATGTGAAACCCACTGTATTGATTGTTTTTTGGTTTCTGGTGTATTGTGATGAAAACATGTTTCGTCTACAGTTACAAACCGGCGCAAAAATTCGTTCGAATTGCGGCGGAGTATCGCCAAACATTCCCTTGAAATGGTCACACTGTTTCGCTTATGGTCGACTGTGGGCAATCGCGACACCCATCTCGCGGATAGTTTTTTCATGTCCAAGTATTCATGTAAAATGTGATGTACCCGCTCAGTAGAGATGCCTACAGCCTCAGCTACTTCACGTATTTTTATTCTCCGATCTTCCAATATCATCCCATGGATCTTATCCACGATTTCTGGTGTGATGACGAGCTGAACGTTCGGCATCACTTGTGCTGGTTCGACCAAACGGAAATCAGTAAACCACTTCTTCACCATTGAAATAGATGGTGCAGAGTCCCCATAGTTTTTGTCACTTTTCTCCATTTTTGTTAGAATTTATGAGACTGTCTACTTTCAACGGCCGTCAAGCTCAAATGAAATGACATTCAAAGTTACTGCGCGGGAAATTCAAAAAGTCACAGACTTATCAAACGGCCCTCGTAATATCCTACATCTATCAATACGCCCCAATTGGGGGCTTCTGGATTCTATAGGAGGTCTGAGAGGGGCTTCCTGACCATGACCTTCTAATGTTTCGTTTTCGAAATGCTCAAGTACTACATGAAAATGGATGTTCTGCCTTGTCCATCTTCCTGGTGGAAAGTAGGATATACGACGGAAAATTGACCTGATCTTTAATATATACTGACAAGGTGAAATCTATGTTCACTATTTGGGAGAATTCTAAGCAACAGTATGTTTTACTTCTCCAATAATATTATTTTAAGACTTCTGTTGTCCTCCCATATCTATTAATGACCCCTACTCGGGAGTTTCTGGATTCCGTAGGGGTTTTGCCCATTGGGATTTTTGAAATCCATTTTCCTTAAGGAAAGTGTCTGGTTCTGTAGGCCCAACTCCCAGTATTCTCTCCCCCTAGTATTCGATTCCGATGCCGTTTTGCCTTGAGGTTGCCGAAAGTTCAAAGGGGTAAATGAATCATTTTCCTCCAGTACAGCAGCAGTTGTGCAATTGAGATGGTTATCAAAGCAGTTTTGTAATTTGGCTATCTGAGACTTGCAGTGTTGTGTTATGTTGATCTCCTTGTGCGAGAGGGAGGTACAGCCGTTTGGTTGATGCTTTTTTGGGTGGTGGTATTTAACTTTGTGGGCTTTACACGAGTAAATCTGTCTATCTCTTCCATTTGACAATACGAACATGTAAGTGAACTTATTGCCCAACTGTTTATTGCTTTAAACAGAATTTTCTGTTGAGTAAATTCAATATTATTACTATTGTTACTATATAGGTAATGCACTGTATTTATAAAACACCACCCTGATGGTTTGTGCGTATCTAATGAACTATATTGCACAAGTGTTACGATAGTATGATACTATGCAAGTGTAGCACAAGTGTTCATCTCCCTTCTTGAAATAACACCAAAAATTAGTAAGCAATATCATATCGGTGATCCAGCGTGAACCCGCTATAG